GGGGAAATTTGCGTTGGGTTACGACCAACTCGGGATACGCCCAGAGTCACGGAACGGATTATGTTCGTATCCCGAGGTACCACTGTATATCAGTCTGTAATCACAATCTTGAATAGCTTGCTGTGAAAACAAATTAAACTATTCACAATAAACCAGTAAAACATTTTTTAAAAAACTTTAGAATAGTGAAAATAAATAACCAAAATAAAACAAAGGCAAAATTAATTTAAAATGGAACAACTCAAAAGACCTGTACTAAAAAATATTGCTTGTATAAAAGTGATATCAATGCAGATGCAACTTCCAACATCAAAATCAACACTTTCTATTAGGCTGAGAGATGGACTAGAAACCAGTGAAGGTCTTGAAATGCTGACATGGTGACTTATCACTCAGTCAATTATCGTGTATATGTAACTGAAGTTTCCAGAATATTTTTAAAGGCAATTCTCACAAAACATTGTAGTAGACCAAATGGAAAGTTACTTGAACACAGCTCATGATGACTAAATAGTATCACAGCTAATGTACTAGCCTAAGCTAGTAAAAGCTGATCCATATAGTATTTTATTGTCTCCAATGACAGATAAATAAAAATCCACTAGATATGAATTTCATTTAGAAAATGTACAAACTTTCTCTATAACCACCAGAACATTACTTCCACGTGAACCTTCTAGGATACTGTCCTAAACAAACCAAAGTTTAAAAGGTTGTCTTTAGTATCTAGTTTACAACTTCATTTTCAGTTTATGAGATGGAAATAAATCCATGTTACCTGCAGTAACAGTTGCAAGAAAGAATTACATCTTTGGTAGTTAAAACACTGCATCTTAGCTATAAGTCTTATCAATCTTAACCGCACAAAATATTTGAGGTTGGACCGTTCCAACATTCTGACTAAAAGCATCCCAACCTGAAACAGACTCTTTCATGGCTGGAGTTCAGAGGAGGATGCTTGGGGGTTGGAATACATTGGAATACTTTGGATCCTCAAAATCCTTTGTACACCTGATTTGAAATAATTCATTTTTTTTCTAAAAGTGAAGTTTACATTTGACAGTAATATTCAGTAAAAAAAAAAATGATTACCTATATCTTTGTAGATTTTTTCATAGTTTTCCATTTCTCTGAGATTCATGTCGTATACAAGTAAAGTTTTTCCCATTGAAAATTCACATTGTGAAAGAGTGCTCAGCATGCGCTGATACTGAGTATAGCTAAACATCAGAGAAGGAACATATGGTATTAGTATCTCATCAACAATTCTCAAAGGCACTATCCTAGATAAAGTTTGAAGCAAGTTAAGATAAAGTAGGACTATTTCTCTTTTCTGTACAGGTTCTAACCAAACTGTGCCAGCAAATCTGAAGAATGACCCAGTGGCCAAAAGACTGAAAGAGGTTGGTTTACATACCAATACCAAAAAAGGAGACTTAAACAGAATATACAATCTATCATACAGTATCCTTAACTTCAGTTATTAACAAAATAATGCTTAGGATCATCCAAGGCAGATTAGAGCTCTACATGGAAAGGGAGATGCTAGATGTTCACACTGGTTTAGAAAAGGCTAAATTAGTGACATTATTGCTAATACATGCTGGTTAATTCAGAAAGTCAAGGAATATTTTAAAAAGTCAATATAGTGCATATTGTATAATTCTGCATAAGTATAACCTAAAATGCAATCTGATCTCCACACAAGTCCT